GGCTGGTGGTTCAAACCCACCAGCCACTCCTCAGAAGGAAGATGGGGCAATCTACTTCCATAGTGATACTGCCTCGGAAACCCAAGGAGGGGTCACATGAGTCGGGTCCGACTCGACGGCACATAACAACAACAACAACAACATGTTGTCAGAAGGTACCATTCCCTGGAGAAGGACATTATACTAGGTAAAGCAGAATGTCAGTGAATAGGGGAAAGACCCTCAACAAGATAGCCTGGTACAGTAGCTGCGACGATGGGTTCAAGCCTGACAATGATTGTGAGGAGGGTACACGATGGGGCAGTGTTTCTTTCTGTTGTGCAGAGGGCCACTATGAGTTGAAACTAAATCAATGGCATCTAACAACAAAAAAATGGGGATAATAATAGGATCTATTACTGTGAGGTACTATTATATAAGGGGAGTCCTTGGATGATGCAAATGGTTGATTCACTTGGCTGCTAACTGAAAGGTTGGAGGTCAGAGCCCACCCAGAGGTGCTTCAGAAGAAAAGTCCTGACACTCGGCCATTGAATACCCTATGGAGCACAGTTCCACTCTGACATATATGGTGTTGCCACGAGTTGACGTAGACTCCATCACAACTGGTTTTATTGTGCAAGGACAAACAGATTTTATACACATAAATATTTTGGAATAGCACCTGTTTATAAAGAAAGCACTCAATAAAAGTTGTTATTAAACATCAGGAGTCAAAACATGACCCGTCCAAGCACAACAGGATTGGACTACTGTCTGGTCAGGATCTCCTGGACTTTGCATCCATGAAAGGCATAAGGTTTGTTTATTTTCAGTGATTTTCTGAAGTACATCACCAGGTTTCTTCCTAGTCCTTAGTCTAGAAACTGAAAGCTTTTTAGCACCATAGCAACACACAATCCTCCATTGACAGAGGAGTGGTGGCTGCCCTTCAATAGAAGTTGTTGTTATTATTTTCCATGAAGTCAATTTCAACTCATAGTGAGCCCAAGTGTGCAAAGTAGAACTGCACACCATAGGTTTTCAAGGCTGTGACCTTTTGGAAGAAGATTATCAGGCTTAACTTCTGAGGCATCTCTGAGTGGGTTTGAAATGGCTTTTTTTTTAAAAAAATATATTTTTAAAAATCATGATTTGGGTGAAAGTTCACAGTAAATTGGTTTTCCATTAAACCGTTCATATACATTTCGTTTCACAACATTGATTACAACTCACAATGTGGCAGCATTCTTCCACCTCCTCCCTGTGGTCACTATTTCCCTTTGGCCTTCTTTCCTATCTATTCCTGCCTTCTGAGCTCTAACTTGGGCAAATGCTGCACTTTTAATCTCCTATGTATGGTTGTTCTATTAAGTGCATACCTTCCTGGTGTTATTGTTCACCTCACAGACCTATTATATGGCTGAAAGTTGAGCCACAGGATTGAGTTCATTTCTGGGCCTGAAGGGTGATTAAGGGCCACATAGTGTTGGGGTTCCACCAGTCTTATCAGACTAGTAACCCTGGCCTTGTATTATTATTATTATTATTTTGAGATTTGTTCCACATTTTTCTCCCATTCTATCCAGGATCTCCTGTTATGATTCCTTTCAGCATGGTGAAATTGCCAACCTTTTGGTTAGCAGCTTAGTGTTTAACCATTTGCAACACCCATCGCCTTTCTCTACTCGTAGATTACATCATCGTTTTTATACTGATTGGTTTTTACTAAATTGTGGGCTTCTTTAGAGGAGGGCCAGAATATCTTTTGACCTCTTCTTCCACCCTCTTCACTCTAGCGCTTTGTCCAGGATCTGGCATAAAATGAAAGCTCAGCAAATTTGGGTTGAATTTAATTACTTCTTCCCTTAAAGACAAGGAGCTCTGGTAGCATAGTGGCTAAAGCACTTGACTGCTAACCAGAAAGCTGGCGGTTCAAACCCACCAGCCACTCCTCGGAAGGAAGGTTGGGCAATCCTACTTCCGTAGTGATACTGCCTCAGAAACCCAAGGAGGGCTCGCTATGAGTCGGGTCCGACTCGAGGGCACATAACAACAACATCCCTTAAAGACAAAGACCAAGGAATAGCTATATCTCAGCTAGGTAAGGGAGGATAGAGGCGAGGTACTGGCCACTTCCACCCCAAAGGCTCAAATAAAGACCAAGCAGGCCCTAGCCTCTAATTTACATCCCTAATCCACTAGTCCTTTCCCTTAATCAAATGGCATCTGGGGGCGGGGATGGGAGTCACAAAAACCCGAAAAGAACCCTGGGGCCAGAGACTAACTAACCGTGAGTGGGATTTGGTAGTTCGGTAAAGGAGGTACCAAACCAAGAAGGGGTAGGGGTGAGCTGTTTTGGTAAGGACCACAAATCAAAAGCTACGAAAGGATTCCTTCAAGAAAAGATCTGTTGGGATGGCATAACGTTGAGGTATTCAAATGTGCACAGAGAGGCGCGAGGCGAATGACGTCGCGCGGAGCGTTGACAATGGGGGGTCCCAGCAAAGGCAGGTGATTGGTCAAAGGAGAGGCTATATAAAGTTCCAGTTGCCGAGGCAGAGACTAGAGGAGAAGGCCTCGGGAGGGACTGAGCTCCCAGTCCTCCTACTCCAGGTCTTCCTTCAATTTCTCCGTGAGACCCCGCGGACACATCAATTCCGAACCCAGGCTAAAAAGAAGCCCCTCCCACCCCTCTCCGTCCTCAACCATCCCGCCCCTTTCCACCCCCGATCTTCCCGCCCCTCTCGGCCCCCAACCTTCCCGCCCTCCGCTCCGCCCCCGGCACCGCCTCCCGTGCCGCCCTAGCCTCGGCTTCACCGACTCACAAGAGTTGACCACAACATGGCTGCGGCGCTGGGGCTGCTCTTGTGGCTGTTCCTGGTCTGGCTGCCCTATTGGATGTCGGGTCAACCAGACCCCAGCCCGAGCCGGCGCTTTTCCGAGTACAAACTCTGCGCAGATGAGGAATGCAGCAGTGAGTGCGCTTGTCTAGCGAGGCGCGGACCAGGGGTCTACGCGATGCCTTTGGGGCAGGGGATCGGCAGCCAGCGGGCGGGGCGAGGGGGTCGCTAGCCGCGCTTGCCGAGCGCGGAAGTGGGCGAGCCCTGGTTTAGCCGCTGATCCTTTCGTTTCTGTCCTGCTTTCTGCCGGCGCTGCTGCCAGCGGGTCCTGATTGTGGAGGGCTGCATCTCCCACTTGTTGCCCGCATTTTATCTTTCCTTTTCTGACTGAGGTGGGTGTCAGGATGGCCCCCAGTCGCCCTCCACCCAGTTCAACACGGCTCGGAGAGGAGATAGGGCTGTGCGCCCCATGCCCTGGGCTACCCACGTTGCACTAGGGAGCTTTCCTGTCCCCGCTGCGGGGGCCTCGGTCGGCGCAGTTGCGGGGGCAGATGCTGTAAGGGCTGGTGGGAGCATTCCTAGTGGCAGGTTGATGCTGAGTCTCAGAAAGGGCGCACTGGCGCAGTCCCTGCGCTGTTCTGCCTTACTGGGGTTTGGGGCTCATACTGCCTGTCACAGCGATTGGAGTTTAGGTTTGGGACGAGCCCCGACTCCACGCAGTGTATTCCAATGTCTCCGCCCCGACTCTGCCTCAATCCTATCATTTCTGTCCATGGAGGTCTCCTTGCATACTGTCAGGGCAGCAGGAAGGCCAAAATCTTTCTCTTGGAGTAGGTGGAGGATCTGCATCGGCCACCTGGTATAGATAGCTGCCTCTCTGTGCCCAGGAAGCGGAATTTTCCCCAGTCCCAGATTGGGGGCGGTGTGGAGGACAGAGATCTTCAGACTCAGATGAAGAGGGTTATTAAAGTAATGGTAATAAATACTTAAAGGATCTTATAAACCAAACCAGTTTTAGCCTTAGCCACTTGTGTTGTTGGAATCCCTTCCTGTGTTTACTGGACCAGGACTTAGTGACAACAGCCGCAGAAATGGTAGTTCATAAATTGTAAGCAATACCTATACAAAAATATTCATTCTGAACAGGCCAACAAGCCTGCAGTTTATTACTTATATTCAAATTAGTGTTACTCAAAAACAAATTTTGTAAGTTGAAGAATTCGTAGTGATTGAAGTATTTGGCTGCTAACCAAAAGATCCGCGGAACCCACCAGCTTCTACGCTGGAGAAAGGTGAGGCAGTTCTGCTCAGTTCTATAGGGTCACTATGAGTTGGAATCCACTGGATGACAGTGGGTTTAGTAGGTACAACACCATTAAAGAAAGTAGAAAGGAGATGATTTCTAATTTGTGTTAAATCATTTTTAGAGGTTACCCTAGAGCCGATGTAAATCAACACACTAATAGCAGCACAACTTCCACAAACAACTACTTTCTTCAGTTTTCTCAGAGCAAAACCAGGCTATTAGCAAGCAGGGTTGAATATTTGCTTTCAAGCACTCTCCTAACGGGATTCCTTAATATAAAATTATGTGGAGAATCACATCACTGATATGTCTTCAGTAGTAAGAAATGGTGTTGGAAGGGCCCACAGTTGTAGTAATGTAACGAGAAATGGTGTGTATACAAACAGGTGTGACCAAACACAACAGGCAGCAGCACAAGCAGGGCCTGGGTCTGTGCTGTGTTGTATAGGGTTCAATAAGGTGTTGCATGTAAGGTGTGCTTGTGTGCTTTTCAAATAGGTGTTCCACAGCTCATATTATATGGTCATCAATGTATTACTGTAAATCTTCAAAGATCTATTCTGAGGGTAACAAGAGTAACACTGCCTTTCCAATTCTGATAGGACTCTCAAACCTTAAATTGTCAGCCTTGTCTCTCACCCAATTATATCTGAATTAGAATGCTGACGTGTTAAAATAATCAGATTTTAGTTTCAGAAAGCAAACAACCCCCTCCAAATCTGTATTTTTGTTCCTTGAATACTTATTTAATCCTTTTGTGAGCCATGGGACATATATGGCCCACCAACATTATCAACCTCTTAGGTTTTTTGGGAAGCTTTCTCTCAGTTGTAGTATGCTACTACCTGGCAGAGACCTGTATAACTGCGTGAGTCTGTTCTATTATCAGAGTCTATCTACTTGGAACACGTGTGCCCCACATAATTGTATCAAAATCTGTACTACCTCAAAAAAAGTTTTTCCCTTGATTTCAGCATGCCTTCCATTATTGATTCTGTCATTAAAAGGGTATTTTTTGTTAATTAACTTTTAGAAAAAGCACGTCCACTGCATCCTTTTTTTGTGCTATATAAATTCACTTATTGTCTGTTTTGTTTTACATCAGAAAGTGTATTTATCACACAAAAAAGTTTCTACTAGTTTCTGATCTAAAAAATCTGACAGATTTTTTAGAAGTAGATTGCCAAGCCTTTCTTCCTAGATACCTTTGGGTGATTCTGGGTAGACTTGAACTTAAAGTGTGATTTAAGTCCTGCATTTTAAGACTTAAGGTAACTGACCTATTCTCACAGTTTTGCTCTGTCCCTTCCACACATTATGTCCACTTTTGATTTTGTTTATAACACAATGCACTGCCATTGAGTCGGATCCGACTCATAGCGACCCCTCCTTGGGTTTCCAAGGCAGTATCACTACGGAAGTAGTTTGCCCAACCTTCCTTCTGAGGAGTGACTGGTGGGTTTGAACTGCCAGCCTTCTGGTTAGCAGTCAAATGCCTTAGGCACTATGCCACCAAGAGTATTTTTTCCTTTGTTTTGAAATCTTAATGTTAAATAAAGTCAACATTTTACTTTCAGAAAATACTGCTTTGTTGTTTTATAATTGGATCTATAATATGGTGTGGTATCCTTTCCCATTAATTTATTCAGATAGTGTATATAGAGGACTCAGCTGCAAATGAAATTGACAATGTTTACTGCTGTCACTGTTACAGCCACTTAGAAGTAGTGCCTTTTAGTGGTTAGTTCAATTTAATTGACCCCTTGGGGGTTCTAGAGTGCTCTTCCCAGCTATTACTTCTACATGCACTCATATTTATACCATCCAGAGTCTGTTCTTGGGTTTACCTATTAGCAAAATGATGCTTTTTATAATTAGGGAACAGCAAAGATTGAGGATTAGAGGGTTATACAGGGAACCAAGAGCTTTTACCTGAGATCAGCCATGTGTGCTGCTGGATACATTGCACTTTGCTTTTCACCATCATTCATACAGAATAAAGGGAAAAGTTTTTCCTGTCCTCTGTCTGTAGGGCACATTGTGATATATAACAATAGCCAGTTACCAGTTGCCATCGAGTTAGCTCCTACTCATGGTGACCCCATGTCTGTCAGAGTAGAACTGTGCTCTGTAGGGTTTTCAACGACTGATTTCTTAGAAGTAGATTGCCAAGCCTTTCTTCCTAGATGCCTTTGGGTGATTCTGGATAGACTTGAACCTCCAACTTTTCAGTTAGCAGCTAAGCTTGTTAACTAGCTGCTACCCAGAGGCTCCTATAAAAATAAAGCTCTAAGGATTTTAGATACTTTGAGAATATAAACTGAAACTGATTCTATAGAGTACAGGAGAAACTTGATTGTTTATAGTGGTTTCTTATATTTCCCCTTAAAACATTGTGGACAATAAAATTTAAGTCCTGATATTTGGTTAATTTTTTTCTCTTTTATACAGTGTTAATGTATCGAAGTGAAGCACTAGAAGATTTCATAGGCCCAGACTGTCGTTTTGTGAATTTTAAAAAAGGTGATTCTGTATATGTCTACTATAAACTAGCAGGGATATCACCTGAAATTTGGGCTGGAAGTGTAAGTAAAAATTTCACATACCTTATTTTCTCACTTTTTATTGGCCTGTTTTGCACTATAAATTTAAGTAACTGTATTTCTTGGGGTTTTTGAAGGGGTTAACCTGACACTCTCTGCTACATTGAAAAAAGAAAATGGCTGCATGTCCCAGTAGGTATCAGATCTACTGGGTTCAACCTACTGAAAGTTGAGCAGATTTCTTAAACAGAATTGAACTGATTCTAGCTATTGTGCCTCAATTATTGCGCCTCAACAGCAAGTTCTAGGTCTTACCAGCCATGGATATTCCATACATAATAAAGGTTAAAATGATGAAAACCTGAAAATTCTTAATCTCATTGCTTCAAAAAGGAAGGAACTCTTATTTTAACGGGATTCATAGGCATTGGACTAACTCCTGTAAACTCTGTGCAAGATAGTGTTTCAGGCATACAAGTTTACAGTTGCTTTTATATGTATTTTATTTTCTGTAATTACATGGGAATAGTGTTATCATTTGTACTATTACAAAAGTAGTGTGTCAGAAAAGCAAAATGCTCTTTGTACTTTGCGCTTTCCTGTTTGTTGGCTTTTAGCAACTTTCTGGTCATCCTTTTTCTGCTTTTCAGACATCTGCTCCTGGAAGCTTCCCAGGAGCTCTGTTTCCAGCTAGTTTCATAGATGCCCTGATACCAGACATGGAAATCAGTGAATGCTTCATGCTTTGATGTTTATTTATAATGAGGAGATTCAGTCAGAGTGGCCTAATTGAGGGGCTTATGAGTGTATTGTCCTGTTTGTTTTTTTTTTTAATTATTATTATTAAATTTTTTTATTGTGGTTTGTGTGTGAATTTACAAAGCAGATTTGTTTTACTCTCAACGGTTGCTGCACATTTGATTTCACAGCCCAACTACAATCCCCAACCATAAATAGCTCTACACCTCTCTCCTGCCTGTGACTGCCCTTTCCCTGTACCCTTCTTATCCACTTTCCCTCGGTGTGAATGCTGCCTCTCTGATGTCTCATGGCTGACTGATCCAAGGAGTGCATCTCCCTAGGGTAGGTGGGTACATCTACCTGGGGTAGATGTTCTGCTTGTAGGTCTTTCAACTGTTGGGCTGAGAGCCAGTCCATGGAAGTGAGTCTACTTCTAGGCCCAGTGGATAACCCAGGGCCATAGTCTCAGGTCTGACCAGTAATTCTGGTCATTTTTGTATTTTTTTAGTTTTGTTTCACATTTTCCCTCCCATGCTATCCAGGATCTCCAATTTTGATCTCTTTCCAAGTAATTGGTACTGGTAGCTGGGCTCCATCTAGTTCTAATCTCCAGGTTGTGAAGGCTGAGGTCCTCACAGTCCATCCTATGTTTGGACTAATTGTTTCCAAATGACTTTGCTTTTCTTCATTCTTCTTTGCTCCAGATGAGAGGAGACCAATTATCCTTTATGATTTAAGAAGTGTGGTGTGTGGACTGTTCATTTACTTAAAGTAGGAAGTATCCTTAAGTCCACTGGGTTGCCTAAACATAGAGAAATACCCAGTCCAAACTATGTAAGTTTTCTCTTAAGAGAAAAGCAAACAGCAGAAAATAAGGCTTGTGATACCCCCATATGGAAAAATAGAGTCATTTTGTTGGTGCTCTAGATTCCTAGGGCAGAATCTCAAAAAGTCAAAGCGGTCAGGTACAACAGCCCTTGTCTTTAGGCAGAATTCTCACTGAATCACTCCATACAAAGAAGAATCTATTCTGTTTCTTTCAAGTCTGTCAAACATGATTTCTTGATAATCTTTATCTTGGAAATTATTTTTTCTTAGACTGAGACTGCATTTTTCATATAATGGTTCTTTTTCTGTTCTTCATCTCTCAGTGTCTGTATAAATAAAGTTAACGTGTTTTCCTACCACCACACATTTTGCTTATGACCATATTTTTAACCTCTAGAAATCTTGCCTATCTTTGAGTTCCTAACTATCATTCTGCATTCTTGGGGAAGCACTGCCTACAGTACCCATCTCTGCTGTCTGACAATGTTTAGGTGGCACTTTGCTTACAGTGCTCATGTGTCATTCACTTTTACTCCCTTGTAGTTAGTTATGTCTTTTAAATTCATTGGTCTCAAATTGATTCCAATTCATGGCAACCCTATGTGTTAGAGAGTAAAACTGTTCCATAGGATTTTCTTGGCTATAATCTTTATGGAAGCAGATTGACAGGCCTTTCTACCATGGTACTACTGGGAGGTTCAAACTGCCAACCTTTCGGTTAGTGGCCAAGCACAAAACTCATACCACCCAGAGACTTTTATTATTGTTATGTGCCGTCAAGTTGGACCCGACTCATAGCAACCCCTCCTTGGGTTTCCAAGGCAGTATCACTATGGAAATAGATTGCCCCATCTTCCTTCTGAGGAGTGGCTGGTGGGTTTGAACCGCCAGCCTTCTGGTTAGCAGTCAATTGCCTTTAGCCACTATGCTACCAGAGCTCCCGATAAAATCAAAAGCTTGGTAATGGAAGGGACTGTGTCTTATAGCACAAGGATACTTATTTACATTTAACTTGATAGCGTAAGTAGAATTTGTTCTCTTGAAGCAATATTCTACTTTTTTTAACATCAAATCAGTAATTCCTTGGCAAGGATGCTATACAGGAACAAAATCAAGTATTGACTGAATAGTTGGACATAAAGATAACTTTCAGTCATGAGGGCCCAGGACTGTGCAACATTTTTTGTGAGACCATAAGAAATGGGACAACACCCAGTTTATAAATATGGAGTTTTATGTGAACTATGGTCTCAATGGACAAAGCTTAAACAAAGATAAATGTATTTCCTTTCTTCAAACATCTCTGATTTCTTTCCCTTCTCTGTTGTTGTTGTTGTTATGTGCCGTCAAGTCAAACCTGACTCATAGCGACCCCTCCTTGGGTTTCCGAGGCAGTATCACTACGGAAGTAGGATTGCCCAACCTTCCTTCCAGGAGTGGCTGGTGGGTTTGAACCGCCAGCCGTCTGGTTAGCAGGCAAGTGTCTTAGCCACTAGATTGTCCTTAATGAAATTTTCCTCAGAAGGGAAAATATCTTTTCCTCAGTTTTACCTCTCATTTCTTGAGCCTTATACATTAGGAAATTAACTATTCTCTTGCTTAGTTTTCAAAATGATTCTTGTTTCTGTGTCTTAAGAAGCCTTTTCTGATTTCTTAGATTTTCAGATGTCAACTGCCAATAAGGCACTTTTGAATTACCCTACCTTATCTAATCTTCATGGCAGTTTTCTACTACTGATACTGGTTTTCAGACAGTGGCCAGATAGAACAGAGCACTCATGAATGGGGACAGTTTATAGATAGTGATAAGATGATGACCTCTTTGTCCTTTTGTATATTTCATCCATATAGCAGTCTCCTTTTTTAATGATTGGGAAGAAAGCTACTCTCTCTTTCAGACAGTAGCTACTAAAAGACAGTTTGTTTCCTAAGAGGATACAGTTTTTATACCTCAGTTGTTAAGGGCTGAAGATGAACGGCATTATTTTCTTCAGAGGTTTTAATTTGCATGAAACTGAAGCTTGGTGTATAGATGACTATGAATTACATTGCCATTTTATTTTCCATCAAAATACCTGTAAATATGGTTTTTTAAAAAGCTAGTACATTATCTAATATCAAGAAATATTTGCCTTTTGTTGTAGTGGTCATACATTTCAGAAATTTTATGTTCTTTTTACTTATTTTCTTGGAAGTTTGGTGGTTTAAGAAAGATTTATAAGGACTGGTTTATGAGTATTGCAGTGAAATATCCAGGTAAATTCTTGCTGGTGGTTATCTGGAATTGTAGTTCTACCCAGCTTTGATTTGCAGTTTTAATTAAACAACATACAATAATCATCTCTTATGCAGATCTTTTATTTACTTCAGAAGTCTAATATTTTGTGCCCTGTGTTTAGAATTAAGCTGAATATTGAAAGAAAACTTCAGTGGTTTTAGAAACATTAGTTTCACAGTATCATATACTTAACTCCTATTGGAATCATAATCTCAGTATAATTATAATAGCGAGGTACTCTGATGGCATAATGGGTTAGGCATGTTTGGTTGGTAACCAGAATGTTGGTGGTTCAAACTCACCAGCTGCTCTGCAGGAGGAAGATGAGGCTATATACTTATGTAAAGATTTATTGCCTTAGAAACCCAGCTGGGTCACTATGAGTCAGAATAGACTCAATGGTAGTGGATTTGGTTTTAGTATCTATCTTAGTTCTATCTACCTATCTATCTCTGTATTTCTCCTCACTGCTAATAAATCTTTCATTTTATTTCTCATACAGAATTTTTATTGATACTTGTCCCTTTTGCCCATTCTTTCATATAGGTTGGACGTATCTTTGGATATTTTCCAAAAGATTTAACCCAAGTAGTTTATAAATATACCAAAGAAGAGCTACAACTTCCAACGGATGTAAGTCATGCATTTCTGTTTTTCTCAATTATAAATTAGCTTATAAATTCATCAGTTAAATTCATTTAACTATTTTTGAAAGTGTTTGAATGTTTTGTTTGTTTGTTTTGGTCAGGAAAATAAAAAAATTCTAATAGTTGTACATCATGTTTTAATTTGGGATGAAACTACTTAAAGAAAGAAAGGATGGAAACATTTGAATGAAAAGAATATAAAGGAGACACTATATCATAATCAGATAGTTATCTAGTATATTGAATGAGATATTCTTATACCAGGCTATTTACCCTTATACAGGGCTGTGGTATGCTACTGTAAAAAAATTAAGAATTCAATCTTTCTAGTTATTAAGTTTAAGAGGTAAATAAGTTCTTTTTGTAAGCAAAAGGAGGTATCCCAATTTGAAAATTACTCATTGAATAGCAGTTATGCATTTTAAGTACAGGTATGTGGCTCTTAAAATCTGTTTGGGCAACATCCAACCACATATATGTCTGTGGTCTCAGAAGATTTTTTTTTTTTTTAAAGGGACATCATCTTACCTTTTGTTTATTATTCTCCCCTAATGGTTTTAAGGGAGCTCTGGTGGCCTAGTGCCTAAGGCATTTGACTGCTGACCAGAAGGCTGGTGGTTCAAACCCACCAGCCACTCCTCAGAAGGAAGGTTGGGCAATCTACTTCCTTAAAGATACTGCCTCAGAAACCCAAGGAGGGGTTGCTATGAGTTGAATCGACTCGGCAGCAGTGAGTTTTTTTAAATGGTTTTAAAGACCCCAAACCCAGAAACCTGCATCACTGGGATACAGGCAAGTGAGGCAGAGGGCATGGCTCTAGGTACAGGCTCTCTGGCTTTGTCCAGAGGGCAGGCAATGGCAACAGCGGCAGTGGTGGTGGTCCCAGGCTGCTCCTGTTGCTCAGGCTGGCGGAACAGTGGGTGGGGCTGGAGCACTCTCTCCCTTCCCACTTACTCCTCTCATTTTGCTCCCACCACTGCCCTTCAGCTTCTGCTGCTGCCAGCAACATTCCTTGGCTTCTGCCAGCGTTGCAGCAATAGTAGCAGCAGCAGCAGGAGTAACAACAAGGAAAACCACAAGTGGGCCCCCATAAGGTTTATTTATTTATTTATTTATTTATTAGGATTTGGGTGAAGATTTACAGAGTAAATTCATTTTTCATACAGCAGTTCACATATACGTTGTCTCATGTCATTGACCAAAATTTACAATGCAGCAGCTCCCCATAAGGTTTTAATGTGGTTTCGCACAACATCCAAATCACATAACGTCCTATTTCACAGAATGTATTGTGGACGTTACGTGACACATACATGTATTTATAAATCATAATAAATAAATCAAAGCCTGAATTATGTACTAGGCCAGAAATGCAAACTTATTATAGACTTTTTAGTGATTTAAGGGATTATAGTTATAGAGTTGGAAAAGGGAACCTGAAAGTTTCAGATGAGGTCTGGTCCCAAGACTGTCCATTCTATAAAGATTTCCTCTATGGTACACTGACTTAAAGTAGCTTTGTACCTGAAAGGATTTTGCATTCTGGGATGCTTATTCCAGCTGATAATTTCTCAGAGTTTCAATGTTTACAATGTTTGATACTTCACCTTTGTTCAAAAATCTTTGAGGGGCTCTTTGTTTTGAGTTGCTGCAGAACATTTAAGCTGTTGGTTTACACAAATCTTAGATGAGACTGGCACAACGGGTGAGGCCTCAGAGCTATTGCTATTCTTAGTGTTTCTCCTGGATAAGCTAGAGGATAACAAAATCAGCCTTATTGCCTATCAGTCACTCCTAATGAAGAGCCTGCCAAGCATATGAGTATGAGACAGCAGGTCATTGGTCCCAGAAACCTCACCTGTTTGGGATTCTACTTTCTCACTGCATGCTCCCTCAATATTAAGAAAATGGCTTGAAAATGCATGGGGTTGAAAGAGGAAGTTATTCATCTCTACTGGGCAGTCCTCCCCAGAATACTGTGAGACTTTAGTTAGAAGAAAATGATTTTGGTTAGTTTTTAACTTTTTTCTTAGTATATAACTGTTTTTGAACCAATTTGTTTATTAGTGGAGGAAAGGAAGAATATAGATAGTCCTGACAGTGGATCTCAGTGACTACCCAGAACCCTGGTTTAAATTATGGTGTATCCCTTACTGGATCTAGTTTTCCAGTTTTTCTTATGGTAATAATTAATCAGAGAAACACCCTTGAGACCATTCTTTGTCCCTTTAAATATTTACTTCCCATGTACCTGCATCTCAGTAGGATACTTCTTAAGCTGATTTATCTTTCACAATCTAGGGAAAATGTGAGCTGAAAATCCATGCAGATTTAGAGCTTGACAGTTGAGTGAACAGAGTAGAGTCTAGAGGACACCATGGTAGAGAAGCTGGATGGACTTCCATCTTCTCTTGGATAAATTATGGTGACAGAACATGAGGCATAGATACTAGAAATTGGGGGGCCCAATAAATGACACCTCTCTTTCCCCAACTGTGTTTCGAACAAATCAAGAGACCTAGATGTCAGGCAGATGGAGACAGAAATGTCACTGTTATTAACTGATAAAGCTTTTTGGAGAATATAGCTCAATTGTGCAGCAATAATGGGCTTTCTGACTACACTCTCTAATGGGACAGACTTAACACAGCCACAGACAAAGCTAGCCAACTACAGGCCTCACTCAAGGAGGACCGTTTCTATAAAACTGGCAGCATGAAGAAAAGGATTTGTGTCCTTGCTGGTAGGCAGGTATGAAAGAGAAACAAGGGATGGGCTTACCAAATTCACCAGCCACACAAGTCTTTCCTCCCCTGGAGAACAGAGAATGAGTGGGAGCTAGAAGTACTCCTGAGATAGATGAATGGAAGCAGGAAGGCAAGGAAAAGTAGATTCCAGCCTCTGATCCTCTTACTGTCCAAGATCAGTCATCACGTCCAGTGGACACAAAAACCCTGGGAGAGCAAAACAAGCATTTGGAGTTATCCCCATCATTAGCATAGGGAAGAGTTTGCTTTGTGACACTTGGTTAGTGACACACTAATGTTTTCCTTTCCTTTACAGGAGACAGATTTTGTTTGTTTTGATGGGGGAAGAGATGATTTTGATAGTTATAATGTAGAAGAACTTTTAGGATCTTGGGAATTGTATGATTCTGCAACTGGAGATCCTGAGAGAGCTACAGAACAAACTTCTCAGCATATGAAAAAGCCTCCTGAAGCATCTGAGGAAAATGACTCTGAACTTGAACCCAGAGAAACCAATTTTGAGGAAAATGAAAGTTTATTCCCTGAAAATACCAAGGATCTAGAAGATAGTTTTGAGGTTCAGAAGAATCACCCTCATGCAAACAGTCAAACAGGTCACACTCGGGGAGAGCAATCTTCATTTGACCCTTTTGAGGAAATGCTGCAAGAGAAGTTAAAAGTTCTAGAAAGTGAAAACAAAACTGGCAATGGTTCTCAAGTCTCAGATGAACAGGAGAAGATCATTACTTATAAACTTTTGAAAAAAGAAATGACTCTGGATTTGAAAACCAAATTTGGCTCAACTGCAGATGCACTTGTCTCAGATGATGAGTCAACTAGACTTGTTACTTCATTAGAAGATGATTTAGATGAGGAATTAGATGCTGAATATTACACAGTTGGGAAAGAGGAAGAGGAGAGTAAAGAAAACTTTGATGAGCTACCGTTACTAACCTTTACAGATGGAGAAGATATGAAAATATCAGCAAAATCTGAAGTTGAGAAGTATTTAACAGATAAAGAGTGGAAGTCAAATGAAGAAGATATGATTGAGGTAGCTCAGCCCCCTGGCATCAGAGATGATGTTAAAAATGTACTAACTACCTTGGGGGATACCATCTTATCTGTTGCCCCAGGAAGTGAAAAAACAGGAATGATGGATTTAGAGAGTTCTAATTCAGAGGAAGAAAAAGAAGATGATGTGTTAATCCCAGGTAGCAAATGGGAGGAAGCACAAACAGCAACAGATTCTATTGATCCTAAAAATGCAGAAAATAGTATTTTGATTGTGGAAGTGTCTAAAACAAATGGTGAGAAAGATCCAGAAATGGACACAGAACTTCACAATGTAGGAACAGGCAGTAAAGTTCAGGAATCCAATAGGGGCCTAGTACAAGATGATACAGAGAGTAAGAAGCAAGAAGAGATGACTGTGCATGGTGATACTGAAAGCATTACCCTTCATTCTTTGCTGGGTGAGAAGGGTAAAGAAACATTAAAATCAGCCTTTGATAACAAAGGAAATGACCAAAAAGAAGCAGCTGTTCATCTCTTGAAAAGAATGATCCATGAAGAAAAGTCTACTGAACACATTTTGGGAGGTAGTTCAGAGAGTGAATCTGTGCCTAAAACTACAGGGAATCAAATGAATGAAGAAAAAATTAAACAAGAATCCATGGATATTGCACCAGTCTTGGGAGACAATCAGCACAATATATCCAAAGAAAGTGTAGAGGAAGTAGATGTTTTGGTAAGTGGGCCACTTTCAGTGGAACATCAACGTGAGGAATTTAAAGAGGAGCTGGTTCTTAAAACTCAAAATCAAGCTAGATTCTCCTCTCCAGATGAAATTGGCTTGCCAACAGAACTGGAAGAGGAAGTTCCTTTTCATGGAAGAAATCTTTCTCAGCAACAAGAAAGGGATGTGACAGCTACAGTTAATAAACACATGAATGAGAAGATAAGACTGTCTGAAGAAGCAGTCAAAGAGGACACCTCACGTCAAGAGTTTGGTCATCACAAGGCAATGCAGGGTACCCAGGAAGTTGAAAAAACAGGCCAGACTGATAGCACGAAAGTACCAGTTTTCCCTACTGAAATGCATGAAGCAGATGGTGATGACTACATCCCTGAAGAACTGCTGGAGGATGAAAATGCTATAAGTGCAAAACAGTTAAAAGAAAAGAACATTGGGATTCAGGACAGAATACTGGATGTTAATGTGCAAGCCCCTGAAAGAGCTACCACTAATCTTGATCCAAAAACTGGAGCAAACAAAATAGAAATGAATATGGTTTTAGAGGTAGAAAGAAAAAGTGGAACTGTGGTCAAAGGGGTAGATACAGGATATAGTGAACCAGCTCAAATAGAGGTGGAAAAAGAGAGCCCTCTTATAGATAAGAAAACACAAAGACCATCTGAAGTAAGTGACTTTCCTGATACCAAAAAATTTTGGACTCCAGAATTAGGTGAAGTGTTTCAGAATAAAGAGTCTGATTACCTGAAGGAAGACAACCCAGTGGAACATCTAAAGACCTCACAGCCTGCAAAGAAGCTTGAGGTGGATGAACTCTCAAAAGAAGACCATGAGGATTTACAAAAAGTCATGGACCCAGAAGGGCAATGGTCTCCTTCTGAAGAACTTGAAGATAACCTTTTCTCTTGGGCTTCACGTGTGGCTGGGAAGCCAGAGCATACTGACAATGGGAAGGACTTGCCTATAATAAGAAGCTTTTTTAAAGAACATCAATCCTTGCAACGGTTCCGGAAGTACTTTGATGTCCATGAGTTGGAATCCTTGTTCCAAGAAATGTCAATAAAGTTGAAATCAGCTCAACAGGAAAGCCTGCCTTATGATGTGGATAAAGTCCTAGATAAGGTCTTCCGTGCTTCTGAGTCACAGATTCTGAGTGTGGCAGAAAAAATGCTCAATACTCGTGTGACTGAAAATAAAGAGCTAGGAATGAAGAAAAATAACATGTTAGAAGAGGCTGCCGTGCTGGATGATGTTCAAGACCTGATCTATTTTGTCAGGTACACACATTCCACAGTGGAGGAGACTGTACCAATGGCAATGGCACAGCCTCCAGAAGAAGGCTGGGATGGACCTATGGAAGGTAAAGTACCTGCCTATGGCTTTATAAGGAGCTCTGGTAGTGTAGTGCCTAAGGCATTTGACTGTTAACCAGAAGGCTGGCAGTTCAAACCCACCAGCCACTTCTCAGAAGGAAGGGTGGGCAAACTATTTCCATAGTGATACCACCTCAGAAACCCAAGGAGGGTTCGCTATGAGTCAGATCCAACTTGCTGGCAGTGAGTTTGCTTTGGTTTATAGCTTTATAGACTTGGGTTTGAGAAACAGGGTAGGGGTGGGCAGGAGGATAGTGTCTTACGTGTAAATCTCTGTTCAGTATACAAGGTGCCTAAAGGAGAGAGATAACAATGAGTCACATGTCTCTTCCTGCCTTCTTTATTTTAGGCTGGAGCATGGGTAAAAATTTCCTTACCCTGTTTTCCTTAGGACAGTTGAGACTGGTTAGCATTTTCAAAGTGAATCTAAAAAGAAATAAACAGGAAAACAGCACAAAGTAGAGCTATGAGTGAAGTACAAATTTCATGTAAAATTATGAAAGGGTTTTATTGAACACAATTTCTTAATCATTAAATAACTGCTCTCTAACCCAGATAGACTGGTATAACTTAAATAGATGCCTTGTTTGAGTTCCTTTATTCCTCCCAACTTTTCATCTTTGTGGATGCCATGTTCTTTCCTGCTTGTTGGAAGTAGTTACTAACTCTAGTTAAACTCTCCTGGGCTCTAGGGCTCTTTCATTCAGAGTAATCAAGGCTGGAACTAGAACGAGGACCCTTCTAACCTCGATAGCACTTCACACATAGATGGTATTTGATAAATACTTATTGAGTTGACCCCAAACTAATATACTAACATAAACTTTCTGATTTCTATTCCATGCTCTATTCTCTATACCCATGCTTTTTCAAACTCTGAGGTTCCAGAACTGATGGTATATGGTAGAGTACCTCCCTGTCCCATGTAAAAAATAATAATAATACACACTGCCATTGAGTTTATTCTGACTCATAGCAACCCTATAGGACAGAGTAGAACTGTCCCGTAGGGTTTCCAAGGCTATAAATCTTAACAGAAGCAGACTCCTTCATTTTTCTCTGGAGCAGCGTGTGGGTTTGAATCTCCAACCTGTTGGTTAGCAACCAAATGCCTTAACTATTGCATCACTTAGTAGAGTACCAGGGGGAAAATAAAGCCACAGGTTAATTTTATCTTCCCAGAATGCTATTTTTTTTCTGAAAATTTGGAGAGAGGGACACATTTACATTTATTCAAAGCAGATTTATTTTGGATTAGAGTGCAAAATTCAAATGAAATTTCAGGCTAAAATATGATATTGCAAAGAAATTTATCTTTGCTAAGGGTCTCCTTGTGAGAGCCTTGATGGTGCAGTGGTTAAGCCTTGGCTGCTAACCAAAAGATTGGCAGTTTGAACCTATCAGTGGCACCATGGAAGAAAAGACCTGGTGACCTACTCCTGTAAAGATTAGTCTGTGGGGGCAGTTCTGCTCTGTTACATGGGGTCACTATGAGTTGGAATCAACTTGATATACACAATAATACAACTGGGCCTCCTCCCTGGCTATGCTCTGAGCCTCAAAGGGAAGGGCTGACTCTTCAGCTCTTGGGGTTAATAAGCAAATATTTGAAAGGCACTTTAGCAAGCAGCTTTTGTATGTAACATCTCTTTCTGTATTAGCTTTATGAGTACGTGCTTTAGTATGAAATAATTCATGCTATTTCTGTGTAGAATAGATGTTTTCTATTTCTGTTCTTGACTGGAATTCTCTTTTGCACATTTATCCATGTGGACATGCATTGGTTTGCCAAGGGGAGTTAAATTATTCAAATTCCTACCATAAATATATTTATGAAATACTATGAAATAAAGGTATCTTTGTCAGTGTTACTGTGTAGATTAGCTATCTCTGAAGTGGGATACAAGAAATGGAAACTATATTCCTAAACAATTGTTCTTCTGGGAATGCCAGAACCATGGAGGGCAGTGTTGAGATGATCCTGGAGTTGTACAGTGTGGGGGTGCCAGTCAGTGGTATAATGGGTAGTATCATCATGCTTTGCTAGCCCAATGCATCCCTTTCTTCTATAGAGACACAGCCACCACATGAGGATTATTTCCCACCAGGGAGCACAGAAGATCTTCTTCAGGATCCTGAAGAACTCAGACACTTGTATCAACCTGTGACTAGTGACACAGATAACTCAGAAGTGTCACAGATGTTGTATACTGACAATTTACACCCAGGTAAAGGTTGCTCATTTTTTTCTATGTAGTAGAGGCATATCATAGATGAGACCTTCTAGGAGATTTGTTGTCAAAGGGAGCAGTAATACAGTTATCTACTAGTTATATATATATATATATATATATATATATAGGAGCTCTGGTAGCATAGTGCCTAAGGCACTTGACTGCTAACCAGAAGGCTGGCGGTTCAAACCCACCAGCCACTCCTCGGAAGG